TAGGTAACCACGTAATTTAATATGTTGATCAACTCTTGCAGCTGTCTCATTCAAAAGTATAACATCGGGATTGTAGTTATGTAGTTCAACCTCAAGAAGGTAACGGTTATTAAAAAAAATGTTGAACATTAAGTTGGAAAATTGTAATCCCCATATTTCTTGCACTTCGCTCGTGTAATGCGGTTCCCGAACGCCTGCAAGTAAAGTCACCTGTTGTATCCACACTATCCCTGCTGGACTCGTCAAGGGGAGGAGGGACTTTTGCGTGGGTGCTTGTGTATTAAAAATGCCATCATCTTCACTAGAGGTAGTAATATTAACAGACTCATTAGAACGTTAGTCATCATCAGAAAACTGAGGTATGCTATTCCCAGTTACAGGAAGCAGAGGCTCGTGAGAGTTTAATGGGAGACTGTGGAGGCTCCAAGGGAATATTAGTTAGGCAAGGTGAGTTAAACCCTTGGGAAAGTTCCTGTTTTAACAGGATCAGCTTCAAAACGGGAGAGTGGCACCAATTTCTGGGGCATTTTTTATGTTCAGTTGTTTACTTATCGGGTTGAGGGGGGTTGACAACCTGGGTTTGCGAGGTGGGCGATCCCTGGGCCAGGGATGACTTAGGCTTATTTTTAGATGTAGAGTATGGTACATACTTCTTATTATGAAAGGCTGGGTCATAATAGCCTTCACATTTTTCTGGGATAGTGATGGGGAGTGATCCCATTAGCCATTAACAGATCATTTAAACCTGAGAGCCAGAGTTGAATGTCACCCCCTGCTATGTCTTTGGCTATCATGTACAATAGTTGTGCTCTCGTCATATCCCCGGCTGTGGATACCTGAGACATTGGAGATGAGACTGAACCTTGTTGTTGCGTTTGTTATGTTGTAAGGAGGGTTAGATTGGGTGCTCAAGAGGGGCAGAATTCCAAACATTGGAAACCATTGGTAGAGACCCGAGGAGTCCCACTTGATCCAGGCAGAGCTGGGAAGGAAGTTTGGGACATCGTTGGCGGTGCTGGGGAGTGGTCTTCTTAGAAGTGGACAGTTTCTTGGCTTCAAGAATTTTCTGCTTTCCTTTTTTCTTTCAGGACAAATAGCAGAAACAGCATGATGTTTTCCATTGCAGAGGACACATTTGGGTGTATTTTTGTTGTTACAATCTCGTACGAATGTTGGCCAGAGCAAATGCTACAAATCTGCCCTTGAGTACTGCATTTGTTGTTGTTATGACCAAAGGCATAACACTTTAAAACATTGTGTCCCTGACAAAGCGTTCAAGAGAAATTTGGTCAGGTGTACATCTGGTGCCAAAATATTTGAAGCCATTTTGACACACAAGTTGGCCTCCTCAGGTGTCTCAAGTATTAACTTTAAGGTTACCTTGTTGTTGTTAGGATTCGAGAATTTATGTGCTTCTACAGCCCTAAATTCAGAATTCTCTGTATTAATGTCCTCCACAATTTCATTCACTGTGCTATGTTTTCATGAAACGTTGATTCTGGCCACAAACACAGTCCTCTGAGCTTGATAGCTCTCAGGTGCAACTGGGTAACACCAAAGTCTTCAGTTTTTCAAGCACATCATGCTTCAGCAGTTGAAGTAACTCTTCTTCCGAAAAGAGGAGAAGTACTGCTCCGCGTGGATTTTAAAAACATCCACTGGAGCAACAGTTGAGTTGGAGCAAATACATGTTAGAATTTCTTTCATGACATTTTATTACCATCAATGCGTAATCTTACCGTATCCTCGCCATGATGTTTAGGAAGGAAATCTGGCAGAGGGGGTTTCGTAACAAAAAAAGGGGTCTTTCCTTAATGTTAACCTAACATCCTATTTCAGCTGACTTATGAAAGGGCAGCCCCTAAGATTTGCCTACCCTCGAGTAGTGAGGGGAAAGGGCCCAAGGCAAAGATCGGGCGGATTTTAAAAAACCACACGGGCTACTGGATGGTCAAAATGCTTTGTGTTAACTCGCCAAAGCGAAGTTGCCGAAAAAGAAGAAGATAGGAAAGTCAGAAGGATAGCAATGTATGTAGTGTGTTAAGTGTGTGGGCCAGTGTTGATGTTTGGGTGAGGGGAGGATGGGGAAGGATGGGGGGATGGGGATGAGAGGGGTGAACAAGCAAGCAAGTCACCGCCTTACAAGATTCATGGCACTACACACTATGGAAGACAGTGCTCCATTCCACATGCAAATGCAGGTCAAGAAACAGTTGCAGGAGAAAAATATAAATGTTTCTGGTGACCAGCACTAACATGAATCCCATCAAAAATTGTTGGAATAAAATGAAAGCAAAGCTCTATTTCAAAACCATGAGAGCCACACTTGACCAAGATAAGAAAAAAAATCTGAAATAAAAAAATGGACTTTACTTACTTTAAAAACTTCCTGATTCTTTGCCTAACCTTCTGATACTGGTAATTAAATCACATGGAAACAACCAAATCTTAAAAATAAAAATACGTATTATTTTTATTACCCTTTATCCTGTTACTAGAAATTCTTTTGTGGAGTCTGTATATTCAAATTAGGTGTTCCTAACATTGCTGCTTTTATCAAAGGGAGATGTGCTGCATTGTGACTGAGCTATTACTTCTCCAAATTGTGAAGTGAATCAGCCATAAATCACAAATTAAAAAAAATTATATTACATATTTTGGAAATATATAAAAGATCTGACATCTGGTATTAACCCTTTGAGGGTTTCGGCCGTACTAGTACCATTTACGACCCAGGGTTTTTGACGTACTAGTACGCCTAAATTCTAGCGCCCTCAAATCTAGTGGGAGAAAGCTGGTAGGCCTACATATGAAAGAATGGGTCTATGTGGTCAGTGTGCACAGTATAAAAAAAATCCTGCAGCACAGTGCATAATGAGAAAAAAAAAACTTTGACCGTTTTTTTGGAATAAAACAGCGACTTTGCACTGTATTTTCGTATGGTATTTATTGTTGTATTCTAGTTTTCTTGGTCTCATTTTATAGAATGGAAGACATATTACAGAAATTGAGATGATTTTTGACTGGTTTTACAATGAAAAGCACCTTGAAATTGAGCTCAAAGTAGCAGAAATGTTTGATTTTTACCAAAGTTCAAAAGTAAACATATCATGCCAAGCATCCAATACACGTCAACTGGTGAGTCTAATATTCTTTTGCAAGTGTGCCAATATTATTTATACCATTTTTTACACTAATGCAGTAGTCTGCATAACAGTAAATCTTCTATTTTTTGTGAGAATAAAAATTCAAAGTGGAAAGCAAAAGAATGTAAGAGGGGCCTTGAGATGTGACTAATGAACAGAGGAAATGTCATTTTAGTGCCAGGAATGTCTTTCTTGTTTATTCTGGACCCTATTCGGAAATTGGCATCTTTTGAAATTTGTGTGAAACTGGCAAAATTGCTAAATTCTGACCACTGTACTGGATAGTTGAAATTGGTAAATGGGTGGTTTCTTACACTCATTCGATACAAAAAATGGAGTTCTAGCAAAATATTCACACTTTTTGTCGACTAGTACAGTGAAATTGGCTGAAAATGGAGCTCAAAGTGGGCAAAATCGCTGATGCGTAAACATCGCCGAGACTGCTAACTTCGCAAGAGCCTAATTCCGCAAGTTTTCCATCAAATTTCATACTTTTGGTGTCATTATGATCGGGAAAAGGTTCCCTATCCTTTCATAAGAATTTTTTTTTTTTTTTAAATTTGGCCGATCCTGAGAACGAGTCTCGGAGAGGGCCTGTCGACCCTCAAAAGGTTAATTAACCCCTTCAGGGTCCAAGGCCCAAATCTGAAGTGGTGCCCCAGTGTCCAAGAATTTTCAAAAAAAAAAAAATTGTTATTTTTTCTTATGAAATGGTAGAGAATCTTTTTGTGAAGGTAATAAAACAAAAACTACGAAATTTGATGGAAAATTGACGAAATTATGCTCTCGCGAATTTTGATGTGTCAGCGATATTTACGAATCGGCGATTTTGCCAACTTTGACTCCCATTTTAGGCCAATTACATTATTCTAGTCAACCAAATTCTTAGCTATTTCACAAGTATTACTTCTATTCTATTGATTGAGCACAAGAAATCGCCAAGTCAACTGTTTCAACTACAAATTAAAGTGATCGGAAATTGTTAATTTGGCCAATTTAACACAAAGTTCAAAATATTCCAATTTCAAAGTAGGGTCCAGAATAAACAATGCATGTATTCCTGGAACTAAACTAACATTTCCTCTGTTCATTAGTTATGTTTTGAGGCTTTAAAAATAAATTCCATTTTGATTTTTTATTCACATAATGAATTTTTATTCACACCAAAAAATAGAAGATTTACCGTTACGCAATACTGTAATAATTGTATAAATATCATCACCATATTTGTGAATGCATATTAGACTCACCAGCTGGCGTGTACTAGACGTGTGAGGTTGTTTGTTTACTCTTGAATATCGTCAAAAATTTAACATTTCTGCTACTTTGAACTCAGTTTCAAGCCATTTCTAGTGCTAAAACCAATCAAAATCATCTCTATTTCTGTAATATGTCTTCCATTCTATCAAATGAGACCAAGAAATTGCAAATACAACTATAAAAAGCATACGAAAAAACAATGCAAAGTCACTGTTTTAATCGAAAAATCATGATTTCAGTTTTTTTCTCTCATTATACACAGTGTGCTGCAGGATCTGTTTTATGTGGTGCACACATACCACATAGATGTATTCTCTCCTATCTAGGCCCAAATGTACCACTCACAGTTTATCAGAGTGAGCTGAGCTCATGACGTAGATCTACGGTTTGGACCCTGAACGTAAAGCCGTAGATCTACGGGATGGACCCTGAAAGGGTTAATAAATACCAAGAAATTTAACAAATGAATTGTAATTCATATTCCTTCTGTATGCACAAGGGAAGTGGAAAAATTGACAATGATATTTTAGTTGTATTTCTTTCATTTTTTTGGTACTTTATTTCTATTTTTGTTTAACTTATTTTTTTATCAGGAATCTGGAGTCCCATTTAGCTTAGTGCCTTTGGTGACTGACTGCCTGATTTATCTGTATGGATGGTCTGCAAATAACTACTATTAGTTTCCTTGCTTACCTTAAGTGGAACAGCTACAGTGAGGCCCTTTCCTTCTGCATCTTGGGCTAGCACCCAATAAGTTGAGTCTAGGTTCTCATACAAAGCTTCCTTTTCCCTAAGAGTCATTTTTGAAAGTTTTATTTCTTCCTCAGTCAGATTGCGAAGAGCAACTTTCACTCTCATTTCTTCTGTCCATTTGTACAGGTGCTCCACATCTGCCACTAGTGTTTTGATAATTCCCAACTTGGTGTCTACCATATTCTTGTAATCTGGTAGAGTTTTTACAACCTATGGTATTAATAAAAGAATTATAATTAATACTTACATTAATAACAACAAAAAGAAGTTAATCCAGAAACTTCACAATTACAAAATTATTTATAATCTACATCCTAGTACAGTGGACCCTCAACCAATGACTTTACTCCATTCCAGAGAGCTAGCCTTTAATCGAATTAGCCGTTAGTCGAATTAATTTTCCCCATAAGAAATAATGGAAATAGAATTAATCCGTTCCAGACACCCAAAAGTATTAAACAAAATATTTTTTTTTTTACATGAAATATGCATTTCCTTACACAGAAACCAATGGTACATGCAAAATAAACAAGAATTAAATGTCACTTACCTTTAATGTAGAGTTATTGAGAAGTGATGTGCCAGAAGCAAGGGTAATTCATGTGTTCTATTGTTTGGAAGGGGAATCCCCTTCCATAAAGACTTCAGGTAGCAAGTCCTTTGCTGGGGTTACCTCCCTTCTTGTTTTTTTAATGTCACTAGGGCCAGCTTGAGAGTCACTGGACCCCTGTTGCACAAAATATCTGTCCAGAGAGCTCCGTTTCTCACGAGCCCTTAGGACTTCCTTAAAATGGGACACAAGAGTGTCGTTGTACATGCTGCTAATACGGCTTGCAACAGATGTGACAGGATAAAATTCATCCATAAATGCTTGCATCTTTGTAAACATTGTACACATTTCCTTAATCCTTGATGAAGGCAACTTCCTCCATCTCTCTTCCTCTTGCTCTGAAGCACATTCCTCAGCTGTGATCTGTTGCTGTTGCACCTCAAGCTCCTGCAGCACTGCAGTGGTTAGTTCTTCATCGTTGTTCTGCACCAACTCTTCCACATCCTCGCCACAAACCTCCAACCCCAAGGACTTCCCCAATGACACAATACATTCCACAACTGGCATAGGCTCCTGAGGGTTAGCCCCAAACTCTTCAAAATCCCTCTCTTGTACACATTGTGGCCACAATTTTTCCAAGCAGAGTTCAAAGTCCTGCAAGTCACTCCCTCCAAGCCTTACCTATGAGGTTTATGCAACTGAGGATACTGAAGTGATCTTTCCAAAACTCTCTTAGGGTCAATTCAGTGTCTGAGGTCACTTCAAAGCACTTTTGAAACACTGCGTTTGTGTAGAGTTTTTTGAAGTTTGAAATGACCTGCTGGTCCATGGGCTGGAGGAGAGGAGTTGTATTAATAGGCAAAAACTTCACTTTGGTGAAGCTAAACTCCCCTGCAATTTGCTCTTGCAAGTCATGAGGATAAGCAAGAGCACTGTCCATTACCAGGAGGCACTTGAGTGACAATTTCTTTTCCAGGAGGTAATTTTTCACAATGGGGCCAAGCACACTACAAAACCACTCCAGGAAAATTTCCCTGGTGACCCATGCCTTACTTCTTGCTCTCTACATCACACACAAATTACCCTTGACGATATTGTTTTTCTTGAACACACTGGGAGTTTCAGAGTGATACACGAGTAAAGGCTTCACTTTGCAATCCCCACTAGCATTACTACACAACATTAGCGCTAGCCTGTCTTTCATAGGCTTGTGTCCTGGGAGTGCCTTTTCCTCCTGAGTAATGTAGGTCCTGTTTGGTATTTTCTTCCAAAATAAACCTGTTTTGTCACAATTAAACACTTGTTGGGGTTTTAAGTTTTCAGTGTCTATGTACTCCTTAAAGTCCTGCACTTATTTTTCAGCCACTTTTTTGTCTGAACTGGCAGCCTCACCATGCCTTATCATACTGTGTATGCCACTACGATTCTTAAATCTCTCAAACCAGCCTTTGCTGGTCTTAAATTCATCAACAGCAGCACTATTTCGAGATCATGCAACTGCCTTGCCTTTTCACATATTATTGACCGAGACACACTATCTCCTGATAATTGTTTTTTGTTTATCCACACTAACAACACTCTCTCCACCTCTTCAATTATTTGCGATCTGCATTTTGAAAACATACTTGCATCTTTCGCAACAACAGCTTCCTTGATTGCCTTTCTGTTCGCCAATATAGTAGTGATGGTTGAATGGGGTTTGTTATGTAGCCTTACCAACTCAGACATACGCACTCCACTTTCATATTTTTCAATTCTCTCTTTCTTCAATTCCATTGTAATTCTCACCCTTTTTACCACAGGGTTGGCATTAGAAACTTTCTTGGGGCCCATGGTGGCTTATTTAGTGGTTACAAGCACTAAAAACAATGGAATAATACAAAATATATTGCAGGTACACATGGAATCGACCTCAATGGCTTGTAAACAACGGCACACTGGCTACAAATGGGGTCTTAGAGTGGCTGGGCCCGCTCAGGCCACATGGACACATTCAGGACGAAAGCCTTCAGATGAGTTTTTCGCCATTGGTAGAGCCAATATTTTGACGCCAAAGAGCACCGTTAGTCGATTTTGGCGTTAGTCAATGTTGCCATTGGTTTGAGTCCACTGTACTTACCAGAAAAGAATTATTCTGAGTCAAGAAATGACAAACCCTTTTGGGTTTTCCAATGGATCCACCCTGAATATATTGCAATAAATGCAAAATGCCTAAAAATGAAAAGATATCTAGAAGAATGTGCATCAATTTACACCATAAAAAAAACAGAAATCAACCACATCCAGCCCCAATTAACCCTTTGACTGTTTTCATTGTATATACAGGTCTCCCTCAACATTCACGAGGGTTACGGGATCAAGAGCCTTGCGAATGTTGAAAAATCGCGAATGTTTGGTGCCCCAATATATTGTAGGGAAATATAATACAATACTGCTTCCTTAACTTGTCGAACCATGAACAATCATAAAATACATGAAAACGTCATAAATTGTACTAAATACATACGTTATGACTTAATAACATGTATGTTATTAAATACCACTGCCTCCACCACTGCGAGTCCCTACTACCCTCCCTCTGACCCCCCACAACTGGCAGCCAGCCCTCCCACCACTGTGTGGTGAGTGTTTTGTTTGTTCATTATTTGCTATTAAACTACAGTATAAATAATGTCAACCCATTTATGACTGCATATTGGAATGGCTATTCGGACAGGTATTGGAAGGTGACATTATGTGTTTACTCTTGAACACAGCAAAGAATCAAACATTTGTGCTACTGCTACTGCTACTGCTAATAATAATAATAATAATAATAATAATAATAATAATAATAATAATAATAAATACGATAGAATTGAAGAAGGAAATTGTACAAAAATACGAGGGTTGAAGCAGTGGTGGAGGAAGTGGTTGACGCATCGTCAGTGTGCCTTTGTTTATGCTGGAGTATTAGTCTCCGTGCTCTTCCAAACATTTCACAATAATTCATTGTATTTGGTGCTTGTAGATTGAGTGTGACTGGAGTGGTTGAGGCAGTGGTAGAGGCAGTGGTAGAGGCAGTGGTAGAGGCAGTGATAGAGGCAGTGGGTGAGGCAGTGGTAGAGGAAGTTATAGAGGCAGTGATAGAGGCAGTGATAGAGGCAGTGATAGAGGCAGTGATAGAGGCAGTGGGTGAGGCAGTGGTAGAGGCAGTGGTAGAGGCAGTGGGTGAGGCAGTGGGTGAGGCAGTGGGTGAGGCAGTGGGTGAGGCAGTGGGTGAGGCAGTGATAGAGGCAGTGGGTGAGGCAGTGGTATTTACTAACATATATGTTATAAATAATAATAGTACATGTTAATATTAATAACATTTATAATAATAATAATAATAAATGTTATTCATAATGTACTATTATTATTTATAACATTAATAATTAATATTAATAACATTTATAATAATAATAATAATAAATGTTATTCATAATGTACTATTATTATTTATAACATATATGTTAGTAAATATCACTGCCTCTACCACTGCCTCACCCACTGCCTCTACCACTCCCTCTATAACTGCCTCTACCACTGCCTCTATAACTGCCTCTACCACTGCCTCTATAACTGCCTCTACCACTGCCTCTATCACTGCCTCTACCACTTCCTCAACCACTCCAGTCACACTCAATCTACAAGCACCAAATACAGTGAATTATTGTGAAATGTTTGGAAGCGCACGGAGACTAATACTCACTCCAGCATAAACAAAGCCACACTGACGATGCGTCAACCACTTCCTCCACCACTGCTTCAACCCTCGTATTTTTGTACAATTTCCTTCTTCAACTGTATCGTATTTATTATTATTATTATATTAATATTATTATTATTATTATATTAATATTATTATTATTATTATTATTATTAGCAGTAGCAGAAATGTTTGTTTCTTTGCTGTGTTCAAGAGTAAACACATGATGTCACCTTCCAATACCTGTCTGAATAGCCATTCTAATATGAAGTCATGGATGGGTTTACATTATTTATACTGTAGTTTAATAGCAAATAATAAACAAACAAAACACTCACCACACAGTGGTGGGAGGGCTGGCTGCCAGTTGCAGGGGTCGGAGGGAGGGTAGTAAGGACTCATGGCGGTAAACTTAAATATGATTTAGCGGCTGGGAATCTGGCGGTTGAGAATTCGCGAATGTGTAAAGCCTGCGAAAGTTGAAAACGCGAATGTTGAGGGAGACCTGTATATGTCTTATGAGCCAGTGTTTCTGACGTATTAATACGCGAAAATTCTAGCGGCTTTAAATCAAGCAGGAGAAAGCTGGTAGGCCCACATGTGAGAGAATGGGTCAGTGTGCGCAGTATAAAATAAAATCCTGCAGCACACAGTGCATAATGAGAGGAAAAAACAACTCCGACTGTGTTTTTTAATTAAAACGCAGACTTTGAGGTGTATTTTCATGTAATGTTTATGACTGATTCTCGTTTTCTTGGTTTCATTTGATAGAATGGAAGACATATTACAGAATTAGAGATGATGCTGATTGGTTTTAAGATGAAAAGGACCTTGAAATTGAGCTCAAAGTAGTGGAAATATTCGATTTTTGCCAATGTTCAAGGGTAAACAAATCATGCCACATGTCTAATACATGTCAACTGGTGAGTCTAACATTCCTTCACAAATGCGCTGATATTAGTTATACCATTTTTACAATAATGCAGTAGTCTGCATAACAGTAACCTTCTATTTTTTGTAAGAATAAAAATACAAAATGGAAAGCAAGAGCAATATAAGAGGGGCCGGGAGACATGACTAATGAACAGAGAAAATGTTATTCTAGTGCCAGGAGTGTCTGTCTTCCTTATTCTGGACTCTATTTTGAAATTGTATCTTTTTTAATTTGTGTGAAATTGGCCAAATTGCCAATTTCTGACCACTTTATTGGGTAGTTGAAATCAATAAATGGGCAGTGTCTTGTACTCAATCAATAGAACAAATGGAGTTCTAAAGAAATAGCTACGAGTTTGGTCGACTGGAACAATGGAATTGGCCAAGAATTCGCGAGTGTAATTCCATAAGTTTTCCATCAAATTTCATACTTTTGGTGTCATTACCACTGGGAAAAGACTCTCTATCATTTCATAAGAAAAAACTATTTTTTTTTTTTTTAATATTTTGCAACACAGAGAGACACTTCAGGATTTGGGGTAGCAACAGTCAAAGGGTTAAATGAAGTTAGTATTATCTATGATGAACAGAAGTCAATGAAGTGATGGTGAACTGTTAGTGGCCTGGCAATCCTCACAGTGGTGCCAGGTGCCTCTCCATAAGATGACCACATGGAAGTCAAAGGTGTCCAGTGTATGGCATGTGAGCACAGTTTCCCATAACCAGAAGCAGTGGAAGTCTAGTATCAGGACATGTACAAGGAACAATAACAAGCTTGTCAAATTATTGCAGGGCTAGACAACAATAAATTATTATTCTTCCAAAATAAATCAGATTATTAAAGTTGATAAAATAAAAAATAAAAACTACTACAATTCAAAATTTACCTGGAGATATTCATCAGCCAAGTGTGGGAACCCTACAAAAGCCACAAGCTTCCTTTCCACCCCAAAGTCACTAAAGCTAGTAGCTAAGAAGTAAAAACAATCTAGACATAATATACTGGAACAGTAACACTTTTAGATATTAAATATGAACTCAGTCTAATACACAAAAAATAATCTTTTGATACATTTTGTTGTACTATGCAATAATAACAAAGCTTCAACACTAAAATTTTACTAACTTTATTTAAATTAGTTTCTAATGTAGTCATCTGAGCAGAAGTGATAGATTTTGGCTTCATATCCTTCAGTTTCTTCAACAAGTTTTGCTTTGTCATCATCTCCACCAAGTGATTCTAAAAGTAAAAGAAAAAATAACAAAGAAAATGCACTGTATATAAAAAATTATATTTCTATATTTTTTGATATATTTTATAAGTTCTTTAAAACATTAGGAGATGCGAAGAAATAATTACTGGTAACCAAAAAATGATCTGAATCAATATAATAAAATGAGAGCTGAAATATATACATCATACAAGCTTACAATTCTTCAACTAGTACTCTTTCAAAAGTTTTACCTTATTTGAATTTGCTAGTTTTTATTTTTTTTCTTAATAAAAGCAATAAACTGCTAACATTCATAAAACTGGTGACAAGTATCATAATATGATCATATAAATTCTTGTATTATGATACCAATTTCTACACACAAAAAATCTGACACAGGTAGTGAGTCTATTACCTGAACCATAGTTGTGTGTGCAGACAATGAGGCTTCATCAGTGACATTAACAGGGGCATCCATAAGTGCCTGGGCTTGGTCCACCCAAGTTATCAGTGCTTCATACTCACTGTTTGCGCTCTCTTTACCCCCTTCTTCACCAGCAATTCTGGAAAATATCTCTTATTAAATTCTACAAGCCAATAAACAAAAATAAAGTCCAGTATGATAAAACTTTGATGGTATAAGCATTTAGAAAATGCACTATCTTCTGTAGGGCAAATTCTCATATTTCAGACAAAATTAGACATAGAAATGAGGAATAATGTAACTATAAAGAAATTTAATCAATACGACACATGGTCCAAAGTGCATCTTGAGTTTCTTCAGTAAATGTCTTCATTCATAGAGCCAGATTCTTCAGTAAATGTCTTCAGTCATAGAGCCAGATTCTTCAGTAAATGTCTTCAGTCATAGAGCCATAAGATATCATCAAACACCCAAGCAACAAAATATATCACAACTGCCTACTTTTAACACATACTTTTCTCTATTATCATGCCTTTACTGTCTTATTTATTTATAAAAAAAAAAATTCTAATTTCTCACCTCTCTCTCCTGGCAGCAAGATCCAGAAGCAGAGCTCGCCAGCGTTTCATGAGTGAGTCGACATTTTCTTGTAAACGTTTACCATCATCAGCACTCATGCCCTCTGTGACCTCCTTACACATAGACTGGAGCGTTTGACTTGGTCTTGAATAAAATATAAAATATAAGTGTTTTTTTTTCTTTTTAACACACTGCCCATCTCCCACCAAAGTAGGACGACCCGAAAATGAAACACTTTCACCATCATTCACTATGACATGCAAGCTGAAAACATACTAATTAAATACAAGCCTTCACACAACACAACTACCATAAAAACTTAATACAAGCCTTTACACAATACAACTGCCACAGACATCAATATACAGAAGGGCCCCACTTTACGGCGTTTCGCTTGACAGTGTTCTGCTAATACGGACATTTCAAATTATGACCAAAACTCACTATATGGCTTCCCCCACCAGACTTTCTAATACAGTCACCGAGCCCCACCTGGTTTGTTTACATTCTCCATGAGAACCGCATCTCTCCATTAACCCTCTCAGGGTCCGTGCTATAGATCTATGGCTATACGTTGAGGGTCCAAACCATAGATCAACGCCAAAATTCTAGCAGCATCAAATTTAGCACGAGAAGGCTGGTAAGCCTACATCTGAGAGAACGGGTCTGCATGGTGTGTGTGTGCCATAAACAAAAATTCTAGGCGCCCATATGGCATTGTGGGAATGCTGCCTCAGTAACCTTTGTTCACCACGCCTCGTCGCAAGGCAGCTCTCACTCCGAGGCGAACTGGGACTCTCCTCTTCGTAACTGATAGTTCTGACTCTGATGGAAGTGGAAAAGAAGAAGAATTCTATGGCTTTGATTGATTAGTGACCGAAAGCAATGACCAGGATGTCCAAACCGTAGATCTATGCCAAAATTCTAGTGGCATCAAATTTAGCGTGAGAAGGCTGGTAAGCCTACATCTGAGAGAACGGGTCTGCGTGGAGTGCGTGCGCGCCATAAACAAAAATTCTAGGCGCCCGCATGGCATTGTGGGAACCCTGCCTCAGTAACCTTTGTTCACCATGCCTCACCGCAAGGCAGCTCTCACTCCAAGGTGAACTGGGACTCTCCTCTTCGTAACTGATAGTTCTGACTCTGATGGAAGTGGAAAAGAAGAATAATTCTATGGCTTTGATTGATTAGTGACCAAAAGCAATGACCAAGATGTCGAAAATAGTGCAGAAAATCCTGACAATCCTCAAACTTCTATCTCTGGTGTGGGCACATCTCAGTCACGTTCAGTTGTACCTCGCTGCAAGAGAAAACTAATATTTTCATGTGACCAGGCCTCAGACTTCAGTAATGATGATGATAGTGATGTAGACTGTGATTTTATTGCTCTTGTTGATCATTCGAGTAGTGATAGTGAGGAATCATATTCACCAGTGAAGCGTCAGTACGTACGCTGCCGCATGCACTCGGGTAATGTTCCCTATGCAGTGCCCAGGGGACGGAGTACATCCCGGAGTACATCCCATGGCCCTACACCAGGTATAGACAGTGAAAGTAAGGATGATGTGGCTACACTTGGCATGGATAGACCACAGGCATCAGTAGGTGGTGGTACTGGTGGTGACAGTGGTGGTGGTGGTGGTAGTGCCACGGCCATGCATGACTCACCAGCCCAGGATGGGACCCACGCCGCTGACTCCTCAGCTCAAGGACAAAGCAGAGCGTCAGCCACCACCCCACCACAACTACAACTACAACCAGCTTATGATATCCAGTATCCACCAGCAAACCGTATCTGGGATTGGCAGCAAAATCCCAATTTTGTTCCTAATCCTTACCAGTTTGATGACTCTCAAAGTGGAATCCCACCATCTTGTTACCCTGGAAACACTGCAAATGAACTGGAATTCTTTGAACTATTCTTTGACCAGCCCTTGATGGAAACTATCATCAGGGAAAGTAACAAGTATTTTGAGTACACCATGGCAAATACGATCATATCACCACAGTCAAGACTACACCGGTGGAAAGAGACAACTGTGGCTGAAATGTATTTGCTTTTTGCAACAATAATGCTTATGCCTCAAGTCAATAAGCATAATATAAAATCATACTGGTCCACAGATCGGCTAATTTGTACCCCGGTCTTCACTGAAATCATCCCAGTGAACAGGTTTACCTTACTGTAACAAGATTAGAAATGTTTTTATGTATCTGAAACAGAAGTTCAACATGTACTTTTATCCATTCAAGAATCTTGTAATTGACGAGTCTTTGATTTTGTTCAAAGGTAGACTTTTGTTCAAGCAGTATATACCGAGCAAGAGGAAACGCTTTGGTATAAAATTGCTTGTACTCTGTGACTGTGACAGTGGCCTGGTATTGGATATTATTGTATACACGGGATGTAAAACATTGAAAGATACCAGGATGTTATTGGGTATCTCAGGTGACATTGTGAGAAGCATGATGGTACCTTATCTTGGTAAGGGGCATACATTATATACGGATAACCAGTACACAAGCCCTTTACTCAGTGATTTCTTGCGAGTGAACATGACAGATGTGTGTGGCACAGTGCGTTCTAATCGTAAACATATGCCCAGGTTCAACGCAGGCACTCGTGCTGGTGAGGTGCAGGTGTTTACTGCCAATGACATCATGGCATTACGGTGGCATGACAAACAAGATGTCCCATTGTTGACAACCATTCACCCTAACAAAATGCAAGACAGTGGCAAAGTTGATAGAGTGACTAATGAACGTATTAAAAAACCAGTAACAGTGATTGATTATACACAAAACATGCGTTCGGTTGACAAATGTGACATGCAGATTGACTTTGTTGATTGTGTTCATAAGAGTTACAAGTGGTACATGAAACTTTTCATCCATCTCATGGACATTTCAATGCTCAAAGCATATCATATGTACCAAATAAAGACTGGCAACAGACCACCATATGGTGAATTTTGTTTGTCTGTTGTCAGACAACTCATAATGAAGTACCAGGTAACAACACCTGATATACAAAACTGTCCTCGAACCCTCAGGAAATATCCAAGCGTTTGAGGGAAGGTGAGCACTTCATAATACAGCTTCCTGCAACTAAGAAGAAATTTGCTCAGAAGAGATGTGTTGTCTGTGCACAAACAAAACGATGGCAACAAAGTTGCAAAGACACTCGGTTTATGTGCGAGGAATGTAAGGTACTTCTGTGCATGGTACCTTGTTTCAAGGACTTCCACAGGCTGCAGCAGTTCTAGAAACATGTCCAGTGACTGTACATATGTAAATATATAATAGAACATTAGTATTATACAACATTTGTGCATGTTTATTGTAGTAAACAATACTGGTAAACAATATTATAATAATAACTTTAGTGCAGAAGCTTGTAATTGTTTTACATGATGGTAGGATTGCTGGTGTCTTTTTTTTCTGTCTCATACACATGCACGATTTCAGGTACGTCTTGCTACTTCTACTTACGCTTAGGTCACACTACACATACATGTACAAGCATATATATACACACCCCTCTGGGTTTTCTTCTATTTTCTTTTTAGTTCTTGTTCATTTCCTCTTATCTCCATGGGGAAGTGGAACAGAATTCTTCCTCCGTAAGACATGCGTATTGTAAGAGGCGACTAAAATGCCAGGAGCAAGGGGCTAGTAACCCTTTCTCCTGTATATATTACTAAATGTTTTAAAAGGAGAAACTTTCGTTTTTCCTTTTGGGCCACCCCGCCTCGGTGGGATACAGCCAGTGTGTTGAAAGAAAGAAGAACTTTAGTGCGGTTAATGTGTTCAATACAATGAGTGTATATATATACATTATATACAGTATTGGTCTCACAGGGCACAAATGTTACTAGAAAAAGAAAAAATTAGAAAAGAAAAAGTATAAAAAACATAAAATAAACAAATGCGATTTTGCAGAAGTTGCTGATGTTGCCCCCACCCAGTCATTTTGGGTCAACTTCCAGCCCCTGTATCTCGGTAAGTACTGATCAGATTTTTTTTTTTTTGTTTTATTGCCTTCACAAAAATATTATCTTTAATTCTGTAAGAAAAATCTTTTTTTTTTTTTTCAAAATTTCTTGGACACTGGGACACCCCTTCAGATTTTGCCTTTGGACCCTGAAGGGGTAAAGTGTTTTTAAAAGTTATTTCATATTCTATATTTTTTTTTTTAACAAGTTGGCCATCTCCCACTGAGGCAGGGTGACCCAAAAAAGAAAGAAAATCCCCAAAAAGAAAATGCTTTTATCATCATTCAACACTTTCACCACACTCACACATTATCACTGCTTTTGCAGAGGTGCTCAGAATACAACAGTTTAGAAGCATATACGTATAAAGATACACAGCATATCCCTCCAAACTGCCAATATCCCAAACCCCTCCTTTAAAGTGCAGGCATTGTACTTCCCATTTCCAGGACTCAAGTCCCACTATATGAAAATAACCGGTTTCCCTGAATCCCTTCACTAAATATTACCCTGCTCACACTCCAACAGATCGTCAGATCCCAAGTACCATTCGTCTCCATTCACTCCTATCTAACACGCTCACGCACGCTTGCTGGAAGTCCAAGCCCCTCGCCCACAAAACCTCCTTTACCCCTTCTCTCCAACCCTTTCGAGGATGACCCTACCTCGCCTTCCTTCCCCTACAGATTTATATGCTTTCCATGTCATTCTACTTTGATCCATTCTCTCTAAATGACCAAACCACCTCAACAACCCCTCTTCTGCACTCTTGACTAATACTTTTATTAACTCCACACCTTTTCCTAATTTCCACACTCCGAATTTTCTGCATAATATTTACACCACATATTGCCCTTAGACAGGACATCTTCACTGCCTCCAACCGTCTCCTCGCTGCTGCATTTACCACCCAAGCTTCACACCCATATAAGAGTGTTGGTACTACTATACTTTCATACATTCCCTTCTGATAATTATACTTGTGTATACCTGTACCTAAATAAACTTAAACACTGTGCTGGCATGCAGGTACACATTAAAATCAATAAGAGTGTCTTATGTCTCAAGATGCCATATTAACCCTTAAACGGTCCAAACAGATCGTCGTTCAAATTCGTAGTGCTACAAAAGTAGATCTACTTTTTTTTA